CTCAGATACAAGCTCTCTGAATGCAGGAGCTACACCTTACTTTCCTGTTTCCCTTCCCAAACAATGTTCTTTATATGATTATTGCCAAAGCAGGACAGGCTTCAGCTCAGAGGAATTAGGTGTGGACGTTTCCAGTGGGCACACCTGAAAATGTCCAGGTAGATGGGATATAGGGTGAGTAGACTCAGGAAGGCAGGTGAGCTTTCTTACAAAACCCTAGAAACATCACCAGGGGTTCCCATGACCCTCTGTGAACTTCAGCTCTGAAGTTCAAATAAGACAATCAAAGTCCGGAAAGCTCTCCCAGCCCACAATGGCTGCACTCTCGCAGGGCTGATGCTATGCCAACAGCTCCCCACTGCCCAGCCGCTGCTCGAGCCCCCAACCCAGTGTTAAGTCACATCCACTGAAAATCAGGCATGGATCAAAGCCAACGTGCCTCTTGTTGGGTGGAAAGCAGATGGCCAGACCAGAGAAAGCTGACGGAAGGAATCGCAAAACAAGTATCAATCAACCCAAGCAACTCGGCATTAGCAAACAGACAGCCTTGCAGCCTGGGCAGGGCTCTCTGGTGGCGTTTGGAGCGGCTTTCCTAATTAAGGATGAGCTATGGAGCTCATCAGCCACCCTAAGTTCCTGCTAAATGTGGCAGGTGGCATCTGAGAGATCTGAGAGCCCCCTCCTGCTATAGCTCCCCAGTTGTGCTTAAGAGGGGCACATCCTGCCAGCAAGGAGCTGTGAACAGACACAGAGCAGCAGAAGAATTTAAAGGGACATCACCCCCAACCGGTGCCCTAATGGCCTTGGAGACCACCTCTCCAAGTCCGGCACTTGGGCTGCTGAGTGCAACTTGGGGTCAGGTGTGCATGTTGTCTCTCTTATTAGATATAAATCCTAGTAGGAGCGGGGCCACCTGCCACAGTGCTGTTTATTCCCACAGCACTTAGCATCCTGCTAGAAATATTGACCAATGTTTAACTGGAATGTGGCCGGCTCAATCCATTGAGTTTTACTTGGATTCCTAAACATTCCATATCCTAGTGCATCCTGTATAGCTTACTGATATCGTCTATTTCTAATAATTTGTGTGTATGTCTACTGCTTCTCCTATACCTATAAAGTCCTTCAGAGAGGTACCAGGCTGTAAGTTTCGCTCTGGATCCGACTCTACCTCCCTAGTAGCTGAGCCACGACTAAGAAAAACCACAGGCTGCCCATTCATGCCTGCTGACCTGTATGGTTTGGGGATGCACGTGGACGTGGGGCACACACCTGGGACCTTCCTCACCACTTGTTCTATCGCTGCCCTGTGCCAGGTACTGTGTAAGAATGCCAGCCCCACTGCAGTGGGTGACAAGCCTTTGTGTTTCCATTTTTAGAGGTTTTATTTGTTTATTTTTAAAGAGAGGGGAAGAAGGTGAGAAAGAAAGGGAGAGAAACATCATTGCACAAGATGCTCGAAAGAAACATTGATCGGTTGCCTCTCACATACCCAGCCAGGGACCTGGCCCACAACCCAGGTATGTACCCTGACCGGCATTGAACTGGGGACATTTCAGTTGGCAGGACAACACCCAACCACTGAGCCACGTGGTCAGGGGATTCCCGTTTTGTGATAAGGAGTCGACGGTCCTCCATCAAACTCAGAGCAGCTCTTGACTCACAGCACTGACCCGGACTCTTCAGCTTCCCAATCGTGTGATCCTCACATGCTGATCAACCTTTTGTTATTAAACTAGATGAAGTCGGTAACGTGTCCAGCAGAGTCCAGCACAGATGCTCAATGTGTAGTCCTGGCTCCCTCATAAGATTATTTATTATAAGCATTCAAAGACTTTTTATTCATTTGTCATATGATTTCTATTTCTTTGGGGCCTTTGGCTTAGGTGCCCGGGCTGGAAAAAAAAGAACAGAAAATAAAGATGCTTTTGTGAAGTAGATGAAACATGGCTTTGACCTCACAGATCCTCCTAAGTGTCTGGCTTTCAGACCGTGAGCATGATCAGAGTGGCGCTTTGGTCACAGGCAGAGCCCAGCCCATTGTTTTTAAGGTCATTCTGGCGGATTCACACTCTCAGTGCTCTCTCTTGCCAAGCAGAGTGATGGACAGCAGGGAAAACCTTGACAAGCAGGTATGACAAATCCAAAAGAAGACAGGTGGGGGCAAGGCTGGAGAGCAACAACCTGAAGGTAAAACTTCACGGATGCTCCTGGAAGGGTAGTGGAGAAGGGTATAGCTATCTGAGATTCCAAGAGAACAGTCAGGGACAAGTCGAGGCAGCCAATAAGTCAAGGAAATTCAGGCTCTAACTCTGTCCACCAGGCCCTCCTCCCCTCAAAAAAAAAGCATGTGGTTCTAAGGTTCCTGGGTACTGCTGGCTATTTCTCCTTTCTTACTGGAAGCAAGACCCCGGATGCACTCAGGAAAATTATGGGGCCTCCAAGGAGGTGAGAAGGCCGACTCTACGTGTGCTCTGACTCCATCCGCGTCAAGAGAAGGGACCTGCTGGGGTGGGAGTCCCAGGGGAGTGCCTTCCTCCTCGCTTTGGGCACTCTGATGGCTGTTCCCTTAGAGCCAACAGGAAAAGGATGAGGGTCCCACCCAGGCTGACACTATGGCCCCTTCTCTGCATTCCAGCCCCACGATCTGCTGCCCAGCTGCTTTGATTCCTAAGTTCCACGTCAGTCCTCCCTGAGAGCCCATGGGTGGACAGGCTATGTTGAAAGGGGAGAGACCTATTTTATATATATATATATATATATATATATATATATATATATATATATATCACGTAGAGAGCAGATTTTGCAAGGGTTTGGAAAAACCTATGAAGGACACGTTCATAGAGAGTTATTAAAGCAGAGCTACATCCAGGTTGGATGCACCTTACGCCACATCAGCCAGCGGTCTCGGAGTCTGCTCCCCTCTGTGGCTCTGCAAGGCCACCTCGCTGTCTCACTGAGGAAGATACACCGGAGCAAGGGGAACCCTCCATAACCAGGGCGGAGGAATTCAGCAAGGAAAACAATCAAAGCCCTCCAAAGGCACCGGGAAAGGCAGCCGCTCTCAAAGGCTGATTGGGCCTGTATTCTCTGCCTCCCGCTGACAGGTCTGCCTTCAAGTTAATTAAAAAGTCAAATTTGACTGTCATCCCAGTATCTGGTGAAGGGGCAAGCTGTTCATAAAACACCTTGTGTTTGCATAATAATTTTATGCTTTTCCAAGTACTTTATCATCTATTGGCTCATTTGAACTTCATGTCAACTCTACAAAGTAGGCAGAGCAAGAACTGCTAGGGAGGCTGTAGAGCATACAGGAGCCAGACTGCCTGCGTTCCATCCCCAGTCCTGCCTCCTCCCAGCTGGCAACCTTGGGCAAGGGGCCAACCTCTCTGCGCTGCCTCTTTTTCCTCTGTGAAATGGGCACAACGCGATGTCTGCATTGTTGGTTTGTTGTAAGAAATAAGTGAGTTGATATGTGTGAATAGCTATCAAACCTGGTACATAGTAAAGTCAGTCCTCCTTCAGATGTACCCCGGGTTTAGCAGGATGCTAGGCCTCCAAGCAGACACGAAGAGAGTGAAGCACCAGGAGGGCCCTGCAGGCTGCCCAGGGCTTCGCACCACGAGAAACAGCATCGCTTCTCTGCCCTCCCAAGAGGAATGACCCTGGCCAGATCCTGTTCTCGGACATTCTGCTCAGGACAAGCACATTATTGGGCCCCACCAGGAAGCAAGTCGTTAGCTGTGCTTTCCCCAAAAGCCCCGGTATCTTCCCACTCCTGCCCGGACCAGCCCAGCCCCCAGTGAAAGAGCGTGGAGCAGAAGCTCGCAGATGACACCTGCCTGGAGCCGGTGGGGTATCTGTACAGCCCCTGGAAAGACGCTGGATCCCCGCAAACATTCTGAGAAGCAGGCCGATCCGCCAGTCCTTGCTGACAGCTAAAAATCCCCAGCCCCAGAGCATGTCACAACCTGTCATGGGCCGGTTTGATGTGCCCAGGCCAGGCTGAGGCACGGGGTTGGTATGAAACAAGACAGCAGCAGTGATACCCGGAGCTTCCTCTGAGGCATGAGCCAGGGCTCCTGGCAGGGGGAGGGGAAGGGAAGCAGTTTAAGCTGGACCCTTTGTAAATTGTCATAAGTCCCTGTCACATTACTTTTCCCAAAAAGACACTGATAGGGAAATGGTGCACAACTAGCAATGTCAAATTTTAACCAAACTGCCAAGTGCACGCAGAGAGCCTTCCAGGAAGGCAGTGGACTACACCTCAGTGCTCTTGTGCAGAACCCCCTCGGGGACAGAGGACAAGGTGGACAGGCTCTGAGCCCCCTCCCCCTCCCCCCAGCAGTGGAGCTGGTACCGTTCAGTGTGCTGAGCTCCGCATCAGGCTCCACTGAGAGATGAGGTTTTCCAGCTACATGCATGGACATCCGTAAATAAAACTGTGACGCTCCGACACAATCCACACTGGCAGTGTCCGGCCCAAGAGGGCCCAGCTTGGAAGTCCACACCACCTTCCGGACACTACTAGGATGCCCCACGGTTTCGTTGCAGTTGTCACTTTACCGCCTCATTTTTGTGCAGCGAGCACACTGGACTAGCTACCAGAAAGACTAAAGGTTTTAGACCCAGTCTTTTAAGCCCTTGTAAAGCCCAGCAAGTGGCTCAGGAGGGACAGATGGACAAGAAGAACTGACACTGAGGCAGCAGGTGCTGACTGCCAGACACCTGGGCCAGGCCCAGAGGAGAGAGGGACAGAGGGCTCGGCAACCCTCAAAGGCTCCCCGGAGGCAGTGGGGTGGAGTAGACCTGCCAGACAGGACGTTAGGAAAGCAGAGAATGGAGTGGAAAGGGGAGGGAGGGAGCGTGGTGTCTGGGACGGAAGGTAAGGCCAAGATGACCGAGTGTCTGGGGAGCAAGGTGCAGATGAACTGGGAGCAGGGGGTCCATGTGGGAGCGTGGGGGTGGGGAGGACGGGGAGACTCGTTTCCGGTCTAGGGCTCGCTTTGGCAGTACGTGCACTAGAACTAGAGCCACGCCGAGAAGATTAGCACGGCCCCTGCGCAAGGATGACACACGCGCGCCCTGGAACAGTCACAGTTCTGGGATACCTCCTCACACCTGTCAGAAGGGCTGTCGTCGGTAGATCAACAAGCAACAAGTGCTGGCGAGGGTGTGGGGAACAGGGAACCTGGTGCACTGTTGGTGGGAATGCAGACCCGGTGCAGCCACTGTGGGAAGCCAAGTACAGTTTCCTCAAAACATTAGAAACGGAACTGCCCTGTTACCCCACTTCTGGGAACTTATCCAAAGAAACCCAAAACACCAACCAGAAAGAACACATGCACCTCTCTGTTCATAGCAGCATTATGTACAATAGCTGAGATCTAGAAGCAGCCCCAGTGCCCATCCGTAGGTGAGGGGATAAAAAGCTGTGGTCCATTTACACAATGGAACACTACTTGGCTGTAAAAGGAAGGAAATCTTACCTCTGCGACACCATGGATGGACCTGGAGATTATTATTATGCCAAGTGAAGTAAGCCAGTCAGAGAGAGACAAATACCACATGATCTCACTCAAATGTGGAATCCAATGAATGAAATAAACTGATGAACAAAACAGAAACAGAGTCACAGACACGGGGAACAGACTGACGGCTGTCAGAGGGGAGGGGGCCTGGGAGACTTGATGAAAGAAGGTGCAGGGATTGGCCAAAGATCATACGTGCACAAGTCATAGACGCAGACGGCAGTGTGGTGACAGCCAGGGGGAAGGGGGCAGGAATAGGTGGAGGTGGGCGAAGGGGGGAAATGGGGACGGAAAGAGACTTTGCTCGGGGCAGTGGGCCCACAGTGCAGTGTGCAGACCATGTTCTACTGACTTGTACACTTGACACTTTTATGATTTTGTGAACCAATGTCACCCCGATAAATTCAATAAAAATTTATAATAATTTAAAATAACAAAATACACAGAAACTGTTGGTGATATATTATCTGTGGGCCTACCATGAGTATTAATTGAAATAATATGCATACACATTAAAGTGGAGCTATTATTCAGCCCATCTGCCCACTGTTCCAAGTAGAGAGCAACCATACACTAATTAGCCAGTTGAATTTCATAGATAATAAAAGTCAGTCTTCTATTTTTTCTTAAAGACTCATTTTCGGTCTGTTCAGGGATTCAGGTGGCCAAAGGGAACCCAAAAGCATGAAAGCAGGACATTGGGACCTGAATGAGTGGCGGACGCTGGACTGCATTATTCCTAAACTCGTCACCGACGTCCACCTAGGTGGAGAGAAGAGGAGGGTGTCGGCAAAAGGGAGAGAGAAATGGTCGGACCCAGAGTGAGCTCCAGTAGCAGGAGTCCCGCTGATAACAAAGTTCTGTCTGTCCCTTCCCATCCTCCAGTCCCCACCCATAGACACAGCCGGAGGCAGAAGCAGGAGACAGAACCTCAGAGCAGAGGAGAAGGGATGGAGGCGTGGGCTGGGCCACCCACCACCCCAGGGGAACACAGACAGAGCAGGAGGAGGGAGAGGGGCCCCACGGGCGCCCAGTCAGGAGCCGCCTTGCCATGCCCCGACATGGGCCCTCGGAGGTGGTGGCCCTGCCAACTGGGTGCACTCATGGAGAAAAACAACCCAGGCAACCATCAGTGAACTGGCAAGTCAAGCAGTGAATTTCCTCAGCTCACTTTTGGAACCGGAGTCACAGAGACACCGGTCACCAGCAGAAACACAGGAGGACACCCGCAGAGACCGCACACCCTGCCCAGACACAGAGACTTCATGCCTGGTGAGAGCTTTGCCTTTCCTCTACGCACCCTGACCACGGTCACATGAACAGACCCACCGCAGCCACGTGCACAGTACAGGAGACACCCACTGTCTGCCCCCCCGGCCTCGCACACATGGAGCCCCCCCGGGTTGCCCCCCACAGCCAGGCTACCTTGATGAAGATGAGGGCGGGGGTAAAATACAGAGAGACACCAGTTAGGCTAGAATTGTGCATAGACAACAAGTAAGTTTTGGTATATCGTAAATACCGCATGAGACGCGCTTTTACTACACAAAGTATTCACTGCTTATCTGAAATTCAAATTTAGCTGGGAATCCTGTGTTTTTATTTCCTAAATCTGGCAACCCTAGTAGAATGAGAGGCGATGGGGGCGTGGCAGTGGTGGGGGAAGAGGAGCGAGAAGTGGGCAGGCCAGGGTTCCCTTCATGACCATGGACAATGAAGAACTCAGTCAAGCACTCCTGTTAGTTTCTGAAATGTCAGGGTGGCGGAGCCGGGTGAGGGTCTGGGGGCGTCCTCCCCACTCACACCTCTTCCCAGGTTGATTCCGTGGGACCCTGACCTGGGGCAGGAGCTGCCAAGAAGGCTGATAATGCAGTGGCCCCGCCAACCTCGCCTTGGTGTATGTACTTGAATACAGACCACATTGATATTTAAATCACTTAATACTCAAGATACTCTATCAAATGGTATTATAATTTCCATTTTACAGAGGTGTGGGAAAGGCAGGTGGTTTGCCCAACGTCGCAGAACTGTAAATGACAGCTCAAGACAGTCATCCAGGCCTGGCCATCTCCACCTCCCCCTTCCCAGGCACCCCGTAACAACCAGCTTCCTGCTGGGACCCCACTTAGCACCGTGTAATGGAACTTTCTCGATGACGGACAAGCTCCGCACGGCAACCAAGCTCTTGAGTGACAGCAGCTAGTGGGACTACAAATGGAAGTCTTGGTTTAATTTTGATTTTATTTCTGTCCCTTGGGGCAAGGGGTCCTCTGGGCCCGGATCCTGCATTTCCTGGATGTGGCAATGGTTCTGAGAAACACAAAATGTTCAGAGTGACAGCAGCCCTTGGAAACTGTCCTGATCCACCTCTTTCCTTCTGAGGCAGCAAATCCGAGGGCCGGAGATGGCACCGGCGACAGAGGCCCTACTACTCTGTAGCGGTGCTCCTGGCTCTGGAGAAGAGAGCTAAAACGGCAAAGGCCAAACCCCGAGGACCTCAGCACACACTTGGCAGCCCCAGAAGCCCCCCAGCTGGCCCAGGTCCCACCTCAGAACACCCACTGTTGTAAAAAGGGGTGTCAAAGAAGCTGCATCCCAGAAACCAGCAGAGCTTGTCTATCTGATTCCTGTAGGAAATTTGAGAGACAAAGGGAAAAAAAGGCAACAATAGCAAAAAACCTTGCTGAGTATGCTCCCCCGCCCCCCCATTACCTTGGAATTATAATTACAGTGGCCCTTAATATCTACACACCCAAGTAATTATAGCTGGCATATGGCTCCCCACCGCAATCGGTTATTAACTTTTTATGGTACCCTCTGAGAGCACCCAGAGAGACAACCACAGCATCAGGGAAACAAGGAAGCCTGGGGTTGTCCCCAGCAGGTCAGTGGCCCCAGTGACCTCCCTCAGGAGCCCCCCAGTCTTAGGACCCACCTCCACACCCTCCTGTTTCCATTCTCTTCTGCATAAGCGTGTCCAGCAGAGGGCCGACGGGGCTGAAATGCAGCCGGGCTCACTTGCTAATAAGCCCTGCACCGTGGAACAAGTCTGTCTTTAATTTAGAAGCTCCGGCCGCCGGTGCACACACTCCCCAAGGTCAGGGTGCAGCCAGGCTCTTGGCTCTCAGCCGGATGGGGAACGCACTGTTATCTTGGCAGTGACCGTGGTGTAAAGGAAAGATCGGCGCCCCGGCCCTGGTTTCGCCAATCGCGTGACTGACCTCGGGGAGGGAAAGTCATTGTCCCTCCCTGAGTTCAGTCTCCTCAGTAGGAAAATGAGAAAGAGGAAAGCTGCCCTGCCTCGCTCGCAGGGACGGTACACAAATCAGGTGACACTGTGTCTCGGAGGTAGCTCCACTTTTCACATCCCACTCAGCAGTCTTTTTCTGAAAGTATATTTTATTGATTTTGCTATTACAGCTGTCCCATGTTTCCCCCCTTGTGCCCCTCCCCCCTGTACCCCCTCCCCTCCAGCATCCCCTCCTTAGTTTATGTCCATGGGTCATGCATATAAGTGCTTTGGCTACTCCATTCCCTATGCTGTACTTTGCACCCCCTGTCTATTCTGTACCCACCAATTATGCTTTTTAATCCCTGCACCTTTCCCCTCCTCTTCCCCCTTCCCCCTCCCAGCTGATAACCCTCCAAATGATCCCCATACTTAGCAGTCAGTCTTTATTAAGTATCTAACCAGCTCTCACTGGCAGGGGATTTCAGAGGTTGAGCTGTCTGTCCCTCTGGCCGGCCCACCTCACCCGGGCACGCCCAGGCTGTCCTGCACTGGCTCCCAGCAGGCCCCTGCAGAACTGTCTTGAACCACCACTACTGGGGGGGATATACATTTGTATGTTAATTCTTTAGACTTTGAAAGCAGTTGAGCATGTATTTTCTCATTTGAACTTCTAATCACCCATCGATTTGTAGGAAAGGCACTGTCCTCACTGTGCAGAAAAGCCAACAAATTCAGAGGAGCGAAATGAAAGCTAGAATGGAGCTTACACATTTGAGCTTATGCTTATGCAAGAGACACGGCGGGGAGGGGCCTCTGTCTCCCCAGTCCCAGTACCCATGAGATCTCAGGGCCAGGAGACACACGGGCATCAAGCCCTTGTTGCATAACAACAACAAAGAAGTGAGCCTGTGGGTAAGCAGAGGAGTGTCTCACAGATGGGGGTTTGCACAGCAGAGTACCTGGTATCCTTGGAGACCCACCGAACAGGTCAAGGTGAGCCCCCACTTCCAAATCCTGCCCATCCTTTTTCCTGACCTGTCACCAAAACAGTGAGTGGTCTCACTGGTTCCGCAGATTGGAAAACTCACACTCAGAGAAGCAAAGTGCACGGCTCATTTGGAACAGGGAATTGGTGGGCAGGTTTAGAAGCAGCCCCCACCTTCTGGGGGCCGGGGCAGGCTTTGGGGCACCAACCGTGCATTCTCAGCTCAGGGCCCCTAAAGATTTCCCACCTCTGGGTAAATATGTGGAGTTTCCAAATGTCTGAGCAGGATGAGAGTTGCCCAGCAAAAACACTGTGGACCTCCCAACAGACTACATTAAAATCCACCAGTGGGGCGCC